AGTTCGATTCCCAGTCAGGGCGCATGCCCAGGTTGCAGGCTTGATCCCCAGTGTGGGGCATGCAGAAGGAAGTCAATCAATGATTCTCTCTCATCATTGATGTTTCTATCGCTCTCCGTCTCCCTTCCTCTATGAAATCAATAAAAAAATATATTTTTTTAAAAGGACAAAAATGTGCACAGGAAAAGCCAAGTTTACAAGGTGTCAAAACCGCAGATAACATTGTGTGATAGGCATGGGATTAATTTTCTTTTCGGTGTTTTTCAAACTGCCTCTGAGGAATGAATATGTTTGACAATTATTTTGATGTTTTACAAATTAACTTCAGGTTTAAAGCAAAGTGCTGCCCTTCCATGCCTCCGAAGCTGCCCCCTGGGTGGTGACAGAAAGAAAGCTTTCAATGGAGGTGGCTCTGTGTTGATTGGACTCGATGGGATTTGAACACTTACAACCCAGAAAGTTGCATGAGGATGAAGGTGCTGGTTCCACGATGCAGCCACTGGTTAGTTTCACGTGACTCCGCCCCCACAGGAGTGCCTACAGGGAAACCTGGCTGTCCTCCAGAGGGCAGGCTCGGTCCCCCGGAGCTGCAGGGGAGGGTGTTTGTCCTCCTGGGCCCCTGACGGAACCCACGCATTGATGAACCCAGGGAGTGGACTGACCGAGCATTCTCAGAGTCCTGACTCTTAACTGTCTCCTCTCCTCACACTGATGGTCACAAAATGAAAGCTTTCCTCATGATTCCCCTGTGTCTGGCCCCAGGACAAAGAGATAGTTACCACATGTGTCGCATTTACTGGCCCAGAGACCCTCTGGACTGACCTTCTTCATGCCCAATGAGTGATGAGATGACTCACATGTGGCAGGACTTGCCCCACGTCTTGCTGTTTCTTCATCACCACTGTTGTTTTCCTGTTATCCCACCAAAGGAGGATGTTTTTGTTTTGGAGTTGGTGTGATTCCGGACCCTACAGGCTTGTGCAGAAATAGGGTCATGGTCCCCAAAGAGCATCTGTCACTTGAGGAATTAAGAACCATCAGTAGCCCTGGCCAGGTGGCTCGGTTGGTTGGAGCATCATCCTGCACACCAAAAGGAGGCGGTTCCATTCCCGATCAGGGCACATACCGGGACTATGGGTTCGATCCCCGGTCAGGATTCATGCTGAAGGCAGCCGATAGATGTTTCTCTCTCCCTTCCTCGCTCTCAAATCAATTAAAAAAACAACAAGAAATTACAATAAATTACGTTGAAAGTTGTTTTCCTCCAAGGCTCCCATTTTCCCCGCTGAGCAGATCAGTGTGGTGTCCTCGGTGGCCTTGCCTGGGGCATGTCCTGGAGGGAGCGCCTCCTGGCCTGGAGGCCCGGGCCTGGGAGTCTGTCACAGGGCACTGCCCACGCTGCCAGGGCTGGGTGGTACCCTATGGTCTCCACCCCGTAGTGAGGCCACATTTGGGGTTTACTCTACCCTGTGAGCACAGATGATTATGTCTCGGCTGCCCCTGGAGAAGCTGACAAGCAAGTAAGCCGACCGCTTCTCTCCCTTCCCCGTCCAGCCCGCAAGATCCCACGTGAAAGGAAGGAGAGGGAAAACTGCCCGTCAGTGCGTGGCCCCTTCCGGGCTGACAGCAGAGAGCTGGGGTGGCCCCCGGGGACCCCCGGCTCTGTGGAACAGAGACATGATCTCAGAGATGGGCGGGTTGTGCTGACGCTGGGTACCCTGGTGAGTAATGAAATCGGGCCAATCTGCTCAGAACCACCTGGCGTCTGTCCTCAGGGGAACACGGGCAGGACAGCTGACCGTGAGATGCCAGGGCAGCTGAGACCCTGTCATCCATGAAAAGGATGGGGTTTGACAAAAGAAACCTGCAGAAATCCCTGAGCTCAGCCCTCCTGGGGGAGAGCTGCTCAACAGGCTTCCACACCCTTCAGGGCCAAGGGCGGCGTCCACGCCTTTGCCAGGATGCAGCACAGTAGGCCTGGCCCCAAACATATTATGCAAATAGTTGACCTGCCAAAGGATGAGTTGAAATGCAAATGCAGAGGGCAGAGGGGCCAGCATTTCCCTAAACCCTGGCCCAGCAGGAAGACTGTTCACCTAGCGCAGCAGTGGTCATCCAGGGACAGAGCTTTCTAGTTGCCTGGAGACACCAAGGCCAGCCCCAGCTCCTCTGCTCCTGCCCCGGTGCCTGCCGTCCTGGTACACTCGCCTGAGGGTCGCACCTCTGGGTCCCTGCCCTTCTGTGTAACCTCTACAGCTCAGACGGACACGGCCATCCCACTTCCGGGGCGCGCTGGGGTGCCAAGCTCTGCTCTGTTGCCTGGCGCACATTGGCTCACACCTGGGTCCAATGTTACCTGCTTTAGAGCCGTCTGTGCGCCACTCTTTGATCTTTGTTTCTTCCAGCATCAAGTCCCCAAAGAGAGGAAGATGCATATTTTCCCCTTTGTGGAGAGAAGAAAGATATCTGAGTCCCTAATCCCTTATCTCATGGTTTAGCAATGGTACCCCTGCCCTGACAAAGGGCTTGCATAAGTATAGGTCGATAGAGAGACAGAGATTTTAGAGCCGTCTGTGCGCCACTCTTTGATCTTTGTTTCTTCCAGCATCAAGTCCCCAAAGAGAGGAAGATGCATATTTTCCCCTTTGTGGAGAGAAGAAAGATATCTGAGTCCCTAATCCCTTATCTCATGGTTTAGCAATGGTACCCCTGCCCTGACAAAGGGCTTGCATATGTATAGATCGATAGAAAGACAGAGATAGAGATACATATACATATGTACACACAGTCTAAGAAAATTATATATTAGGAAGTATGTATTTAAGCAATATTTTAAAAGTCAGACACACCCCCCCCCAAAAAATGAATAATAAACCTAAACAGGCAATTCACAGAAAAGACTATCTAAAGGCCATTAAACACAGGGTGGGACACCCTGGCTGGTGTGGCTCAGTTGGTTGGAGAGTTTGATTCCCAGTCAGGGCACATACCTAGGTTGTGGGTTCGATCCCCGAGCACGAGCACGTACGGAAGGCAACCAATCAATGTTCTCTCTCACATCTCTCCCCCCCCCGCCCCCGCCCCCGCTTTCCCTCTCTCTAAGTCAATGCGCATATCCTCCAGTGAGGATTTAAAACAAAACACACACACAAGGTGGGGCAAAAGTAGGTGTACAGTTGTTCATATGGAAAATAATACAAGAATAAACGTATGCGACTATAAACTTACCTTTGCCCATTATATATATGTATACCTGAGCTTCCGTAGTGATCAAGGAAATGGAAATTAAAACCACAAAGAGACACCACTAGACACGTATCAGAGTAGTTAAAATTAAAAGGAGTGGGTGGGTGGGAAGAGATCAACCAAAGGGCTTGTATGCATATATGCACAACCCATGCACACAGACCAGTGTGGTGAAGGCCTGGGGCAGGGGGCATGGGGTAGGGATGGAGGGAGTCAATGGGGGAGGGGGGGGGACATATACTTTCAATAATAAAGATTAAAAAATATGAACAGTGAGTGATTTTGAATGTTTTTCATCAACATTGAGACCCTGATCTTGGGTGTGCCCTCAGGAAGAAAGCATGACTCACCATTTCTCTTCTACCTCATTCTTTGCTTTCTCCTGAGAGGGACTTGAGGGAAGGCTTATGACATTTAAAAACAAGGTTTAAGGAAGTAGGACCCTCCTGCCAAAACTGCGGATGGAAGCCCTGGAGGAAAAGGAGGGAATGAGCCAATGGTAACATATTTCCAATAATAGAAACAGACAGTTGATAACTGAAAAAGGAGACCAGAGAAAATATTTGTCAGGGACACATGATTAGGTGTTACAAGAAGTAAGATCCTGAAAGTGGGGTAGACAGAGAAGCAGGAAGCCATTAAAATCCAAGTTATAGCCCAGCTGGCATGGCTCAGTGGTTGAGCGTTGACCTGGGAACCAGGAGGTCACGGTTCAATTCCCGGTCAGGGCACACGTCTGGATTGCAAGTTTGATCCCCAGTGTGGGGCGTGCAGGAGGCAGCCGATCAATGATTCTCTCTCATCATTGATGTTTCTCTCCCTCTCCCTTCCTCTCTGAAGTCAATAAAAATATTTTTTTAAAAAAACCACAAGTTATAATTGTTACTATGGGAGATGGGGAGCCATCAGAAGGTCTCAAAAATTCATGCACACTTTCCCAAGTAGTGGGTGTGGTTTTAGAGTTTTAATCCTAGGGCACATGACAGGTGCTCATTACACACTCGCTGCCCTATTAGACGGGACTGATTCAAAGATAAAGCACTGAGTGTAAAAGCAGATGCACACACTCCTCCCACCCATATCCGACTGACGCATGGTTCAGGCCCCTAGAACGAGAGCCTGGGATGAGCACAGCAGCCTGGCTCTCATGCTCGGAGTCTCACACCTTCCACGGAGCACTCACACCCATCTCTGCACGTCTCCGGGGTTGTGCTGTTCCCTGGGTATTTTTAGCTTGGCTTCTTGGCAGTTTCTCCATTGCTTTTCAGGATGCTGATGGGCACATATTGAGAGCTCCATCGTACAAAATTGGGGCGCGCTCCCAAAACCTGCCCACTGCTTCTTTATTCCACATCCCCCATAAGATGAAGGCTCCTATCTTGCTCTCTGTCCCAGTTTTGCTCTGACGTGTTTGGGGGCCAGGAGCCCAGGCTGGATCTAGCCTAATCAATTAACCTAAACTTTGGCATAACATAAAAGAGAAAGCTTTTAAAGTTATTACTTTCTTGTCATTAGGCAAAGAGTCCGTTTTTCAAGGGACTAACCTTCATTTGACTTTAGGAGCTAAGCATGTGGCTTGAGAGCTTAGAAGTTTGGATTCATTAACTTCAACAAGAGAAGACTCCTAGTAGACCAGCCAGACTGGTGTGGCTCAGGGGTTGAGCGTTGACCTAGGAACCAGGAGGTCACCAGTTCGATTCCTGGTCAGGGCACATGTCTGGGTTGTGGGCTCGATCCCCAGAAGGAGATGTGCAGGAGGCAGCCAATTCATGATTCTCTCCTCATCATCAATGTTTCTATCTTTCCCTCTCTCTCCCTCTCCCTTCTTCTCTGAAATCAATAATAAAAATATATTTAAAAGAATCAGAACTTCCAAGCTTGTCAGCCACATGTTTAGCCCCTCAAGTCCAATGTCAGCCTCTCCTCCTAGGGTGGCAATGAGATGGAGCCCATGGAGGTGAGAGAAGCTCCATGTCATCACAGGCTGTGCCCGCTGCCCTCTCTGTGGAGCGCGGCCCTGACCTCTGAGTCTTAGTTGCCACGCAAATGACTGCCCTGCCTCTTGCCACCCAGAATAGACGTCTTGCTTCCATCTGTCTTATTGCTTGCTGTTCTGTTCCCTTCCTTACTTCACACACATCTCTTCCCTCGCTTATGTGTCTTAATGTTCCTTTCCCTTAACTGTGATTTCAGCAGCTCTGCTAGTTAGCTCCATAGTGTCACAATAGACAGTTGGTGGAAAGGGACCGAAACGGTGCTCACTACCATCTCATCGCTTTGCAGGGAGTTCCCTGTGGCGAGAGAAAAGAAAGCACCCTTTAATCCCACTACGTTCCCCACCCTCAACATATGGAGGCCTCATTGCCAACACAGGCCCGCAGTGAACCTGTGTTGTCTCCCCTGCGGGAAGGAACGTGGTAGCAGGGGGAGCCTGGCTGTGCCCGTCCTGCTCTAGGGCCCGAGAGCCTGACTGCCTCGTCTTAGGACGTCTGCACGGGGTTGGCATATGTGTGCACATTCTCAGCACCTCTGCACTCAGTGAGGCTGAGGGTATGGAGGCTGCCCGGAGTGAATGCTGAAGCCTGCCCAGCGTCACGAGGCCCGAGAGGCATGCAGCCTCGGCCTCTTACTTCCCGGGCACCAGGAGCCATCACCTTCTCCTCCGAAGCTCAGTCTCAGGGTTCACAGGGCTGCCGGGCAATCGCTGCCTTTGTTCGTGCAGCCGGAGGAGTCACCATGTGGAGAAAGGCGAGAAGCCTTGAACCCGATGGTGTTCTAACCCAAGCTCCGCCAGCCCTCACTGTGTGGCCCGGGGCAGGTTGCAAAGAGAGAATCGGTCGGGGGAAGATGTAGGCCTTCCATCCGCCCACACGTCTTTATGCATTTTAAAGACAAAGCTTATCACCTATGCTATTCGAGTCTGTGGGGAGGGTGGCCTGGGAAGTTAAGACCCCTCACGTTCTAACAGTTCTCCATTCTGTTTCTTTCACAGACTCACAAACCTGAAACGAGGGTTCTAATCATCGGCAACTATTTATTGAAAGCCTACTGTGTATCACTCTGCTCTTTCTCTTAAAATATAGATGAGCTATCTATCCTTTTTTTTTTTTAATCCTCACCCGAGGATATTTTTCCATTGCTTTTTAGAGAGAGTGGAAGAGAGAGGGAAAGACAGAGGGAAATATCGATGTGAGAGAAACACATTGATTGCCTCCTGCACAAGTCCCGACCAGGGCCTGGGCCAGGGAGGAGCCTGCAACCAAGGTTGGAATCAAACCCGGGACTCTTTGGTCCGCAGGCCGATGCTCTATCCACTGAGCCAAACCGGCTAGGGCATCCTTTGATCCCTAACATATAAAATAGCGTATGCCAAGTGACAAATGAATGGAACTGTACAAGCAACTGTCCGCCTGGATTCCCAGGAGGAAGTGATTACCCAAGATGCCTTGGTCACAGTCTCTGCCCATCCCATCCACTACCTGACTCAGGCTCCTCTTGACTTTACTTAACCAGTGCCCGTTTCAGTCAGAGGAAGCCAAGCAAAGTGAATTATTGGGAGGATTTTAAAAAAAAAAAACTCACTGTTTTTAGTTTTTGAAGATTTTTCAGGTAGTCCTTGGGCCTTCCATGAAAGAATGATTTTGGCTGGCCCCCTGGTTTGGGGAGCAATGATGGCCTTGTGGGAGAAGGGGACCACTCATAGTTGTGCTCAACTTCTTCAGGTGGGAACTCTAGCAAACAGAGAAGAAAGGGCGTGGTTTCAATCTCACCAATCATCTGACCAGAACCCAAGTCTCAGCATCCCAAGTAAAGGGAAACCGTCAAGACTTTTCTCATTATATTATGTTAGTACCGTTTTGGTAATATTATTCTATTTAAAATATTTTTTCTTGCCCTAACTGGTTTGGCTCAATGGATAGAGCAGCCGTGGGCAAACTACGGCCCTCGTGCCGGATCCGGCCCGTTTGAAATGAATAAAACTAAAAAAAAAAAAAAGACCGTACCCTTTTATGTAATGATGTTTACTTTGAATTTATATTAGTTCACACAAACACTCCATCCATGCTTTTGTTCCGGCCCTCAGGTCCAGTTTAAGAACCCATTGTGGCCCTCGAGTCAAAAAGTTTGCCCACCCCTACTCTAATATATACATATTCAGTTTGTATACACACTAAGTCTTTCCATAAGTCAAGAAAAAAAAGGAAGTGCAAGCAAAACAAGTGTAGGTTCCATATTAGAGAAGATTTATTCAGTATAAAATTTCCCATTAATGAGGAGAAGTAAAAGATAAAAATATTTTTTCTTGAAATATTAATGTTCATTGCATGTAATATTATTATATTTAAAACCGGTTTTCTTGAAATATTAATGTTTATTGCAAGGGAAAAAATAAATAAAATTTGATTTACATTAAAAAAAAAAAGACGTTTCTCCCCGTTTCAGAGGTGAAGAAACTACGGCACTAAGTAGAGAAGGACATTGACCCAGGTTTTAAATAAATTAAAGCAGAAATTAAACCAAACTTCTGCTTGGTCAGAACCAAAAAGGCCAAGGATTCTGGGCAGACTCAAGATGAGACCTGAAGTTCCCCTCTCCCTAACCCTCCTGCCACTCTTCCCACAGAGCGTGGGCCTCAGCAAGATCCACGAGGCCGGCACTCTGAGTGGGGAGCCAGCTTGCAGGGGAGGGGGAGCGGGGAGAGGAAGAGACCTATGGAGCCAGTGACTCTTTTGCTGTTTGGCTGATGTTTTGGGAACAAATCACTTGGTATAATAATAGAAATGAAGGCGCTAGAGTGAAACATCGTGACAGGAAGAGCTCCCACTGACATCTCAGTCAATTGTGATGCATGGGCAGCCCAATGTCCCCTTGTTCACAGGTGGAGGGAATTTTGACCACACAAAGGGGACTGAGCTGCCCTTTGCCCCTCCAGCCCACTCTATCCAGCAGGGAGGGGCAGGTTCCTCACCACCATCTTCAACAAACTCTTAACCTGACTTCCCAGGAGGAGGTCTTCGTGTGCATGAACCTTCGTTGTTTTTGTTTGGTTTTCACGAATGTTTTTTTAAATATTTTTTAATTGATTTCAGAGAGGAAGGGAGAGGGAGAGAGAGATAGAAACATCAATGATGAGAGAGAATCACTTGATCGGCTGCCTCCTGCATGCCCCCTACTGGGGATCGAGCCCGCAACCTGGACATGTGCCCTTGACTGGAATCGAACCCAGGACCCTTCAGTCTGCAGGCCGATGCTCTATCCACTGAGCCAAACCGGCTAGGGCCTTCTTAGCCCGGTCATCCTCCATTGCTCCACCCAAGCATCACCCCCACTGACCTTTGGTTCCAGCACAGGATGTCTGCAGAGAGTTTAAGGTAACAGTGCTTGGCAGCGCTGTAGGGCAACCAGCAGAGCTGTGCAGTCATCCCATCAGCAGAGCTCCCTGCTAAGAGAGCAACCAGAGGGCCAGAGTTCGATGACCTGAGTTTTAGTCTGCTCTTCTACAAAGGAGCCAGATCTTTGCAAACCATTTCATCTCACCAGGTGTCAGCTCCCTAGTCTGGAATCCCAAACATAAATTCTAAATGCATGCTTCCAGGGTTGTCTGCCCTCAAGCTTCCCGTCCTGAGAGCGATCCAGCGCCCCACTCCTCTGGGCACCTGGGAACTAATAGTGCATCTGAAATGTCTTATGGTGGCAAGACTCAGCAGAGATCTGGTTGGGGCAGAAATTCAACGTAGGTGGCTTTGAGGAGGACCAAGATCCAAAACCACAAATAGAGGATGAACGGCAGAAAGAGGACAGCTTTGGAATGGTCGCTTGCCGACTAACAGATGGAGGAGAAAACAGAGAACAAGGCCAGCAGCCAGGGCCCAGTTTAGGTCTTCCCTCCCCCTTACTTGCTGCTCCTGTGTGTGTTGGGGGAGGAGGGGGAGGTGGATTGTGATCAGCCTCCTATTAAAACTCAAAGTGGCCCGAGCCGGTTTGGCTCAGTGGATAGAGCAGGGGTCCTCAAACTACGGCCCGCGGGCCACATGCAAATACAAATATTGTATTTGTTCCCGTTTTGTTTTTTTACCTCAAAATAAGATATGTGCAGTGTGCATAGGAATTTGTTCATAGTTTTTTTTTTAAACTATAGTCTGGCCCTCCAACGGTCTGAGGGACAGTGAACTGGGCCCCTGTTTAAAAAGTTTGAGGGCCCCTGGAATAGAGTGTTGGCCTGCGGACTGAAGGGTCCTGGGTTCGATTCCGGTCAAGGGCACATGCTTGGGTTGTGGCGTTGATCCCCAGTAGGGGGTGTGCAGGAGGCAGCCGATCAATGATTCTCTCTCATCATTGATGTTTCTATCCCTCTCTCCCTCTCCCTTCCTCTGTGAAATCAATAAAAAAATGTATTTTAAAAAATAAAAATAAATGAAAAATAAAAACTCAGAGGCAGCTGATGAACCCCTCCCCTGAGCAGCTACCTTCTCCTGAGGAGAGGCCCTCTCGGCTCTGGAACAGTGTCTCCCTTTTGGCTTCGCTCTTCTTCCATTAGCAGCTCGATCTCTATGCTGATTGTTGTTATCCAGGCATTAAATGGCGAGGGCTGCCGCCCATGAAGGGTGAGAGGGAGGGAGCTTCGCTGAGAGCCGAGTTGCTCTCCAGCTGACGGAGGCTGCAGCAGCAGGACTTCGGGGGGACCCACAGGTTCCCGGGAGCAGAGGAAGCTGACTCACGCCATCAGGCCTCTCCCACTGAGAGGGGCAGACCTCCAGGTTGGTGTAAGAATCGGGGTCTATTTCTAATGGTCCCCAGGGGTAAGTATCTTGGTCATTTGGCTGCTCACTCTGATGGTTGAATCATCCTGCTCTCAGAGCTCTATGGCTAACAGTTTGCATCCAGTTCAGACAGGCCTGAAGCCCAGACCTGCCAAGGGACACTCCTGACAACAATGGCCTTTGCCCTTCCCGGTTTCACAGTAAACCCTGGGGAGTGGGGGGAGAGCTCTGCATAGAGTGTTTGCACCTGCTGAACAGGCCGGCTGGTAGCAGGAGTCCCTAGAACAGTCAGGCAGTCCGGGTCGGTGCCAGGCAAGCGGAATGGAGAGCGTGCATCTCGGGTGAGCCCTGGGAGAGGCCTAACTCCCTGAGTGGGCGACCCTCAGCTCTGGATCCTCACAGGAGCTCTGGGCACCTGGGGAGCTGTGCTCTAGAGCAGTTGTCGCCAACCGGTGGCCCGTGGACTTCTGGTGGCCCATGACGTCCGAAAGGTCGGCAACCGCTGCTCTAGAGGTTAAAGAAATGACCCTGTGGCCTCTAGACATCCTTGGCTTAGCATCTCACAGCGGAGACATCCCCGGCACCCACTTCTGCCGTGGGCGTGGCACCGCCTTGCCTGTCCGGGGCCCTGGGCACCAGCTCCTGCCCTACTTCTCAGAGAAGACCACCCCCAGCCCCGGCTCGTCATGACCACGAGAAGCTAAAAGGTTCCAGAACAAAGCTTTGATTCAGACTCTCAGAAGCTCCTCCGTCTAAAACGCTGCTTTTGTAACAGCCTCTGAATCACTCCCTTTGCAACCAGCGCCCCCTCGGGCTGGGCTGCGCGTGGGGCACCGGGAGGCCAGGACAGCAGCTGGCAGGAGCCACCTCAGCCCTGAGTCAGCGATGGCTCCCCGGCTTTCTCCTCCACAGACGAACCACCTCCGATTATAGCTTCTGATTATGGCTTCTGACGGGCGCAAGTCATTCACAGCACCGCCCGCTTTGTGGGGCCCTCGCCTCCCTGCGTCGGCTGCTGATTTGTCCCAGATGCAGCTGCGTGCTACACCTCCCAGCGCCCCAGAAAGGTACCCCAGCAGCCAGTGACTCAAGAACAAGGACCCACCTCTTCCCCCTCACCGTCTGCTCTCAGCACGAGGAGCCTTCGGGGGGCAAAAGTACAGGGACCCCAAGTCCCTCCCCGCCCCAGCAGCCTGGAGATGACTGAGCCCGCTATTCGCTGATTGAATAATGCCTCGCTGTGTTTCTTCTCCGCAGGGAGTAGGAAAGCTTTTTCTCATTTCCACAAATGACCCCTCCTCACAGACAAGGAGGCCACCCAACCTGGCGTGGCCTGGACCACGCTCCGTGGCTCCACCCCGCCCCGCCCCTCATTGCCATCCGTGGCCTCGCAGGAGCACCTGCCTCCCTTCCCCGCTGCCAACACAGCCCGAGGCAGCTGGGCTCCGCGCCTCTCTGCTCCCTCTGCGGAATTCCTAAGCATCCTGGCTTTGGCTGCTGACCCAGGCACATGGGCACAGAAGGCACCGTGCCATCCACCCGCCTCGGGGTGTCACACTGGGCACCCTGCCCCGCGCTGCCAGCTGAGCCGGCACGAGGACTGGGCTGAGGGGCTGAGGACAGGCTGTGGCATGGCTCCGCTCACAAAAGCTTCCCGGATCATGTTTCACTTGATCCTCATGTCATCGGTGGGGACTTTGGCTCACAAACCGGCCCCTGAGAATGTGCGGAGTATCGTCGCCCCTTTGCTTCAGGGGTGGGGACACTGAGGCTCACTCAGGGGCGGCAGCTCTGTCTAGAGCTCGTGGTGCTCCTGGGGTCACGACCCAGCCCAGCATTCGGATGACAAACGCCCCTGAAAACCTCTCTGGGGGACACACGAGCCTTAGAACCAGGCAGACCTGGGACCGCATCCTACTCCCCATTTAAGTCCATTTGATCTGGTGATGGATACTATTCTAAGCCCTTTTCAAATGCAACGTCAACTCTTTGAGCTCCCGTCACTGTCCTTTGGGGTAGGGATGATCCGTGTCCTCGATTCACAGGAGCTCGGGCCACATGGGGAAGAGGGGTGCAGCTGAGGTCAGATTCAGGCACTCTGGTCCAGAACCTCCGCTAAGCTGCCCCTCACTTCTCCAACTTCTAACTCCATAAACCTGCGCGAAACGCTTGCAATCTTTTGGGGTTTCGGGATGCTCATCTTTGAATGGCCGGGGTAAGAGGCCCTTCCCCCCGACGCTGAGTGACACCTAAATGAGACGATGCGCACAGTGTCTGTACAGCCCTGAGCTTGGGCCTGGCACACAGCACACACTAGCGATTCGCACAGTTAACCCCGGGTAAAGCTGCAGTAACGAGGCAGGCAAGAAGGAAAGAGTATTTAGGATGGCATTCACAGGAATACTCCCAGTCACTACTCCTAGAGGTCCCCAGCGGGGCAGGTGGCCTTGGGGGACTCCAGAGAGGGACCAGGGGGGCATGCATATGCTCCCACCCTGCCCTGTACTCGTTCCTTCTTTATTTTTTAAATATATTTTTATTGATTTCAGAGAGGAAGGGAGAGAGAGAGAGAAACATCCATGATGAGAGAGAATCATTGATCGGCTGCCTCCTGCACACCCCACCCTGGGGATCGAGCCCCCAACCTGGGCATGTGCCCTGCCTGGGACTCGAACAGTGACCTCCTGGTTCATAGGTCGACGCTCCACCACTGAGCCACACCGGCCCGGCTTGTTCTTTCTTCTAAGCATATCTCTGCAGCCAGCCTGATCAACTGGTCCCTAAGGTAATTCTGATTCTGAAAAGCAAAAGCTTTTGTCATTTAAGATTCTTACCTAATAGGGACTTCCTCATCTTTGAGAAATTGATCAAACTATACACCCTTCCTCCAGAAAAATTCACATGCGCCCAGATACGCAAGCTTGTTCTTGTGGGTTCAAAGGTGACCATCGGATCACCAAGGGGTCATTGGACCTCTGGTTGATGAGCTTCTTTTCTATATCATTGGGAAGCATCCTTCTAATCATCATGGCTAAGCTTGCCAAGCCTTTTCCTTCCCAACTTCATACCCTGACTCTGACACACACACACACACACACATACATACACACACACATACATACACACACACACACACACACACACACACGCTCCCTACCTTCCCCCCTCCCAAAGTTTCCTTGGACACTGATCCTGGACAGCAGACGCCGCAGGGTGGTTGCGATGGCAATGGTGATGGCTGTTGCTAAGGGAGCCAGGAGGCCAGGGTGGGGGAAGGCGAGTGGGCAGCAGCCCAGCAGGGCAGCCCCCCTCCCCCCCCCCACCCCGTGCATGTCTGAGCGCCTCAGGCCCTGGAAACGGTGTTCCCAGCTGGCTGCCATGGCAACAGCAGGCTTGGGAAACTATTCATCATGGTCTGAACAGATTTCCCCAGCTTGCACTTGCTCTTTCTTCTCCCTAAGTGGCTAATTGAGGTGTGAAAGGGTCTGCCGTGAGTGGACGAGGGGCGCAGAGGGCAAGGGGCTCGTCACATGCGTGTTCTGCACGGAGCAGGCTCCCTGGGGGCTGAGGCCAGGGAGGGGTCTGAGCCAGCCCCCCAGCACAGGGCTCAACTGCTGAGGAGACAGCCCCCAAACACAAAGAGGTGTTTCCCAGGGAGCTCTGCCCCTCCCGCTCAGGAGCT